GCTCATACGGGAAATTACCCTCTGTCTCTAATTGAAGAACATTGAACATTGAACATTGAATCGTAATCATTGTGAACTTGTCAGTGATCAGTGAAGTTTGCTCTGTTGTATCTCGCTGTACAATGGTAACGATGTACACTGTAATGTTTTGACATGTATGGAATGCATTACAAACCACGTTCTTTACCACTGTTTTATTTTGGTTGAAAGCTAACTTGATGTTGTTACCATAGAGATGATATAAATTCTGCGATCCAAAAAAGGCTTTTGAAAGACTTACACATTTCGGTTTATAGTAACCATTGCTTTTTGCCAGGTGACACTCTTTTTGTCTTTATCGATCTCTCTCTCTATATATATATGTATATATATATATATATTTATATATTTCTATAGATTTAATTGGTCTATAATCTGAACATATTGACCGCAGATGTTAAGTACAACTGCAAATATGCGCCAGTTAAAGAATTTCGATTGAGCCTAATGGAACACTGCACAACTCTGCACAACAAAAACAAGCAGTTATTTCTAAGTTCATTATCGTACTTCTACATTCATCCGACGAACCAAAGACATCTACCTTGAAATTTATAATCTATCCAGCGCTTATTCATTCCACTTTTAGACTATTTTGAACTTCATTGAGAAATATGCTGGCACCTACAAGTGCATCATCCGGTACCCGTACAATGTGATTGAGTACAATTTTGTGGTGGAGGTGGACTCATCAACTACAACTGAGCGCATTTGTGAAGCACGTGGCAATACGCATGGTATGTTATCACTGATCAATACCTAATTAAAGTTCTGTTCATTATAACGGTGTCCATGAGACAAGGTAAATTAAACAGATCATTATTTTATCCCGTTCATTTCATAGCCATCGAAATAGTTGGCACAATAGATTACAATGAGAAAGGAGTATTCTACAACCCACGAATGAAAGAACTGAACTCAGAAGTTCGCCAGTTGTTTGAAACAAAACTTTGCACGTTGGTGAGCGATTTTTCTATGGTGATGAATTTGACAAATGGACAAAATAGACATATGGTCCAAAACTGATCCCTATTTTCTATGCACTATTTAAATGAGAATCGCATATGTACTTCTCAAGAGGCACACAGAACTGCATTCATTACTTTTCAGCTACACGAGTCTCGAATTGATATACAACTGAAGCCAACTTTCCACATATCGTGCGCGCTGATCGATGTGCACCCGATCAGTAGTGAGTTTGTGTTGGTTTTAAAAGTGCATGACGAGCACTTGAAGTATCTCGGTTTTGAAATGAACCGTGACGGTGCAATGAAAGCGATTCAATCCATTTACAACAGACCTTCATCCCATGACAATATGTTATTTTACTTCAAGACTTTGTCTCCAGGTAAGTTAATATATCTAATCAACGCAATACATAAGTGTTTTTGTAAGTCCAGGGAGTTATTTCACTATGGACTATGACTACGCCTGGGGGAAAGACAATAAAGGTTGTATGACTCATTCTGTTCAAACTATGTTATGTCGACCTATATTGATTTAATGCTGCGGTTAACTGATTTCAAATCTTAGTGACCTAATTGAATTTTCACTCCTCTTCCCGCGCGCACACACAATGGTAAAATTAATAGTGATCGCCATCTCAGTTGGCAATAGTCTTGTGGTCCGAACAGAAAAACCAATCCCATGTCCTGCCAATGACTGGCAATGAATGACAAAAGCGTCCGACATGCTACTAATAGGTCATTGATTTTTTCCTTGTGTGAACTTGAACGACTTAGATTGGGAGCTAGCGGGAGAGTCCGTCCATTGATGCCCATCATATCACTTTTGTTCTCCTCAAGTCACTTTCCCGAGCACTTTGGAGCAGGCAGAATTTTCAGGAATATCATCGTATCCCATTTGAAAAATGTGTTCGCCCATTTGAGTCTGTCAGCATAATAAAATGAGAACGAATATTTTACTAGCCGTTTTTTGTCTTATCACTCGATTTCAGAATTCAGAAGAAATTACGGTGAGAAGTTTTGTGCTTATATTTTATTTCGATATGCCAGGAA